CACAGAATACCATAAAATAGATTTCTCTCAGCCCCTTCCCTGACTGGGAATTATGCTGGACTCACAAATGAGGTCGTGTCTGAAACTGCTGTACAGAGGCTGTAAAATGCATAGGCTTATTAGTCAAATCACACAAAACTAGTCTGTGCACAAATGCAGCGGAGCACAGACAGCGCCAGGAACAGGCAGTGGGAGTCATCAGTCCAAGGACTGACATCTAACACCTCCGTGTTACGGCTTCCCAGCTCCCACACACTGCCAGGTGGGCACGGAATTAAATTCAGGCTCCACGGAGTGATCTGTTAAAACATCTAAAGAGTAAAGCCAACAGAATTCTAAGCAATTGCCCTGTTGGAGTATTTTCCAGAAAGATCATTAAAAAGAAATCATGTTTGGGTTTTACATAGTGGAGATTGTTTATCTGCTGTGATTCATTGATCAAGGTGCCCACAAACACAGTTTTAAAGAAATTTGAAGTTCATTAAAAGAAGGAAAGAGCTCTCCTGTCTTCTGTCTGATTTCCTAAGGAGAAGGAGGAAGAGGAGTGTGCTAATCCATTTGTGCTGCTGTAACAAAATACCACAGACTGGAGTATTTATAAAGAACAGAAATTGATTCTCACAGTTCAGGAGACAAGAAGTTCAAGATAGAGGCACCAGCAGATTTAGGGTCTACGAAGGCCCATTCCTCATCGATGGTGCCACTTGGTGTCATCACATGGCAGATGAGACAAAGGGACCAAAAGAGGATAAACAGTGTGTCCTCACAAGTCAGAAGAGCAGGAGCGTGAACACACACCCTTTGGTAAGGACCCAATCCCCCCCTCAAGGGGCTCCACCCTCCTGACCTAATCCCTCCCAAAGGCCCTACCTACCTCTTCATGTCACCACATTGGCCCTTAGGCTTCAGCACATGAACCTGGGGGATACATTCACACCAGAAAAGAAGGAAAGCAGGGAGAGAAAGGGGAAGAATTTGTTTCTAGTCAGCTCTTCCTCTTAGAAATCATAGACTTTGGACCTTAGGGGTCAACCTAGCCACCTCCTTCTCCCTTCTTAGAATTAAACAGGGGCAGGGAAGACCTGAAGTGAATTACAGTTTCTAAGTTTGCAGTCAATTGGAATTATCACAGGACCAGGCAGATTTCCTGCTTCCTAGTGTGGTTCTCTTCACATTAAATCCTTCTGCATTCCATCCAGTTTGATGACTGAGCAAATCACTCAACCTGTTGGCAAATATTTTTAAAGACTTAACAGCAAGTAAGTTAAGTAACCAGACAAATTAATCAAAACAAAGGGTTTATTTTTCCCTCATTACAAAAAGTCAAGAGGTAGACACATAAGCTGGTGTTAATTCAATGGTTAATGGTATCATAATGGACCCAAGCAATGATATCTTTTGATTCTATCACAACTAGGGTTGGATTCTTATTAGCATGGCTACTTCCTTATAGTTGCAAAGATGGTTTCTGCAGCTCCAGGTGTCATATGCCTGTTTCAATATTCCACACATATGATGAGGTTACTTTGATCTTACCCAATCATGTTAATCATGATTCCTTTATAAATTCCTTTATAAATGCCCTACCAAACTAAGGAAAATTATTCCTTTTGTTTTCTTCAGTTGATGAAAGTATTTTTTAAAATCACAAATGAGGATTAAATTTTGTCAGCTTTGTTTCCACATCAATGGAGATCACGTGAGCCACACGAATTTTCCATTCTTATTCTGTTTATGTGGTGAATGACACTGATTGATTTTCAAATGTTGAACCAACCTTGCATTCTTTGAAAAACTCCCACTTGGTCATGTTGTCTTGTTTTTTTCCAAATATTGCTAGACTTGATTTGCCAATGTTTTGGTCAAATTTTTATTATGCAAAAATTCATAAGGAATATCAAGTCTAGCAATATTTCTTTCTTTTTTAGTTTCTTGGTATCAGGATGATTCTGACCTTATGAGTTAGGAAGTGTTCCTTCCTCTTCTGTCTCTCCAAAATAATTATATAAGATTAATATTAGTTCTTCCCTAAATTGTCGATAAAATTTACTAGTGACATCATCTGACCTTGGAATTTTCTTTTTAGACCTTGCAGATAAATGGCTATTCAGTTATTTATTTTTGTGGCAGCTTTGGAAAGTTGCATTTTTCATTTCTTCAACCTTATTAAGATTAACATAAATTTTTCATAATGGTCTTTTGTTATTCTTTTAGCTTCTATAGATATGCAGGACATTCCTCTTTTATTCTTGCTATTAGTTTCTTTTTCCCTCACCAGTCTCACCAGGAGTCAATTTTACTAGTTTTCAAAGAACCAATTTGTGATTTTGCCAAATGGTGTCTAACATTTTTTAGTTATTTCCTTCTTTCTATTCACTTTGGTCTTGCGTTGCATTTCTTATTCTTACTTCTTAAGGTAGAATCTAAATTAATTTCAAACTTCTTTTTCTTTACTAAAATAAATTTTTAAAGTTATAAATTTCTGGCTAAATACTGCCTTAGCTGAATTCTACAAATTGTCATGTATTTTCATTACTGTTCTGATTAAAATGATTTTTAATGCCCTTAGAACTGTGCCTGGGATTAAAAAAGTACTCAGTGTTACCTCTGCTTAGCTCAGGTTTTCATTTCTCTCATTAAGAAGTGAGAATGAGCCTCCTCAGAGCTGCCTTGCTGTTTCTACTGCCTGGAATGCCACTCCTTCATACAGGTCAGACTTCATTCTTCCAGTAAACTCCCATCATCCTGCAGCTGTGACCTCAAAGATCATTTCCTCCAAGAAAGTCTTCCTGACCACCCAGACTGGAACAGTCCTCTCATGTACTGGTTTGTGTTTCCTCACAAAATTCATGTCTGGAACTTGTGAATGTGATCTTGTTTGGAAACAGGGAAGTTGCAGATGAGATCACACTGGATTAGAGCGATATCGAAATCCACTATGATTTGTGTTTTTATAAGAAGAGAGAAGTTTGGGCACAGAGATGACAAAAGGGGACAACAAGAGCAGAGACTGAAGATGGATACAGAGACTGTATCCATTATTTTAAGGAAAGCCAAGGATTGCTGACAACTCCCATAAGCTAAGAAGAGGCACAGAAAAATCCTCTCCTAGAGTCTTTAGAGAAAGCATGGCCCTGCTGATACCTTGATTTCAGGCTTCCAACTTCTAGAACTGGAAGAGAATAAATTTCTATTGCTTTAAGCTATGCGATTTAGAGTAATTTGTCATAGCAGCTCTAGAAACTACTATTCCATGTTATAATTTCACCCTTTCCTATATTTTTCTTTTTTAGCTCTTATCAGATAATTATTACATATAAATTATCTAGAAATATGCATGGTGCAATAAGACATATGACTCTGACATTTTAATAGAGGTCTCCTTAAAAGAAACTACTATAATGCCAGTAACTCAATGGCAAGGATTTTAAAGAGCAGATAATTTTGAGGAAGCCTGGTCCTAAAATCGGAGCACCTCAGTAGCCACCTAACTAGTTCAGCTTCTCAGTGCTGGTCTCAGATGTGTAACACAGGGTTCTCTGCTGTATAAATTATCAAACTGGTGACTTTATTTGATTGTTAACAATGGTTAACAATGGTTCTGACCTTTCCTCTACCTCCCAGGGATCTTGCAGAAGTCACTCCAATCTCTCTTGAGTTCTAGAAAAAAGTGATGGGACTAGAGAGTTTCCACTTTGGCTCTAACCATCTGTGGCTTCATGACCGTAATATCGAGCACTATTAAAAAGTAAGTGCACTTGGCCCTCTGTGCTATGCGTTCCACACCTGTGGATTCAACCAACGTGGACTGAAAAGATTTTTTTAATTGCATCTGCACTGAACATGTACAGATTTGTTTCTTATGGTTATTTGCTAAACAAAAAAGTATAACAACTACTTACACAGCACTTACATTGTATCAGGTCTTATAAGCAATCTAGAAATGATTTAAAGTACTCAGGGGGATGAGGGTAGGTTTGTGCAAATACTAAGCCATTTTATATAAAGGACTTGAGTATCCATGGATTTGTTAACCAAGGAAGTGCTGGAAGGAATGTTCCACAGATACTTAGGGACAGACAACTGTATTTAATTCTAAAACACAAGACTCCTTGGTCACTGCTAACCCTCTGCAGTTGCTAAACTCAGAGGTGAAACAGTACTAGGAGGGACAGGTGACTCAAGTTGGCGGTAGACCAAGAATTCTGTCTAAAAATGTAGAATTAGCAGTTCTGTCCAAGTGTGTTTTACTTCATGTAGTAGACGATGCTGGCACTCTAACTTGAAAAAACATTCTCCATGTCTGGCCTAGCTGATCGCTTCCTATCTCCACACTCACCTGCGATTCCTCAGGTCTCTTCCAACTCCCAAGTGCAAAGCTCTGTGCCTGCGAGACAGTGGATTGCTGAGCTGCTGGAGTCCTAGACCTAAGCATAGGCCATGGAGTCAACCTCGGGACGTGATCTTTGACTTATATTTCTTCTCATATTTATTGCATGCTTGGAGGTGTGAGATGGGATGGGGCAGTGTTTCTCCCTCTACATAGGCTCTAATGTATGCAATATTGGAGCCCTCTAGAGAGTCGCTGAACAAAGCCTTCATTTTCCCATCTGTGAAACAGGGACCATTACTGGCAAACTTGAAAAAACGTCCGGAGTTGTACAACAATGCCTAGTTCTTGTTAGGTTTTCGGGAGTTATTTTCCATAACCTTAGGAGCACAAGAAGGATAAAGTGCGGCCTCATCAGCCCATTTGGGTTCGCTGGCAACCCGATCGGCTAGGGTGGCGGGAACCACATGGAGCCCTAGCGACACCGCCTGCACTTTTCGCATTCCTATTGCATGCAGAATGATCCCTCCTGGCAGCAAGACGGACCAGCCCTCGGTGTCAATCAGCCGGCTCGCCCCGCCCCACGCAGGCTTGCCCGCGTGGCCCCGCCCCCGGCGCGCGCGCTCCTGTCACCCAGCGTGCGCGCTCCGGCGCGCGCTGTGACGCGATGCCGGCGAGGCCGCTCGTGGTGAGGCTCTGAGAGAGGCGCGGAGCCTCCACAGGAAGTATTCCTAGCAGTCGCCTCCGCTCCCTCGCCCGGTGACGGTGATGCTGCCCGCTCGCGGTCCTCCGCTCCCGGGAGCCCCGGGCTGCCGAGCAGGTGAGGCCGTTTTCCCGGCACCGTCCAGAGGAGGGTGGGCGGTTGGAGCGCGGGGCCGGCGAGCGGACCTGGACGAACCCCCTGCACGCGGCTCGTCCTCCGCCGCGACCCGCCCGCCCCCGCGGCCACATCCGGGCGCCCCGCGTCTGCCTGTGACCCGATGGCAGGTGCTCGCCCGCCCCTGGCGACCACGCTGGCTTTTGCCCCGCTCGCACGCCGGGTGGCCGGGAGGAGGGCTGCTGTCTCCGGCACCCGCTCGTCCAGCCTCCCTGTCGCTGGAAATCCTGGCGCTGACGACGTGCAGCATCATTTCTGCTTTGCTCTGCTTTTGGGAAGTTTCGTGCTCGGTTTCTCCTTGGAAAGATGGAGCTCATTGGGCGATAACGTGGTGATGCACAGCAGTGTTTCTCAACCTGAGGAATGCACGGACTGCTTTTAAAGGGACAGTTCTTACATTCTCTAATGGCCCCAGAACCAGTTACATGAGTGCAGGTGCAAGGGCGCATTTATCCCTAGGAAACGAGGTAATAAAAATCCAGGAGCTTTGCATGCTAGGAGGTAAGCTAGAGGTTACTAAAGAATCCCAAGTTAGAGACCCAAATCCCAGTTACATTTAACATCGTAGTCTTCATTGTGTTGGCTTTTGTGTGATGTAAATGCCTCATTGTCCAGTCCTGGAAGGCCTAAAAGAAACATTCCGTGTGATACTTGATTTAGCTTGACTTGGTGTCTGATTTCTGGTTGACACACTTGGGGAATTATACTCATGTGTATAGTTTATTTCTCTGTTTATTTTGGAACATTGGTTTATCACCTGTATTTGTTGCATGTTGAATCCATGGCTGACATTCTTCTAGCCCTAAAAGGAAATGTGTGGTGTCAGCCCTTGGAAATACGGAAAAAGGGACAAAAATGAAAGTTGATCCAAGGATTGATATTCTTGATGTATTTATTTAGCATGTTTAATTAAAAGAGACTACACATGAATAAAGAGGAGATTCAGAGTGTGGGAAGACACAAGGAGGAATAACAAGTTAAATCTTGTTTAAAAGAATTATTGCCTTGTGGTTTTGCCCTGTTGTGAGCAAGATACTGGGAGGAAGTGGCACTATTAAAAGCCAGAGGCAAGCGTGGGAACAGCTTGTGTAGGAGAGAGGAGACCCACCTCAGGAGAGCAAGAGATGTGATCTGGGACTGAGGGGAGAACAGGTTGGTGAGATAAGGTGGGGACCGTGGTTGATGGAGGGTTTCAGGTGGCACACAGAGAAGGTGGTATTGATCTACAGGCTTCCAGGAGGTTCTTGGGCAGGTCATATTTTGATTGAAGACAGTGTTCTACAAAGAGTCACTTACAGAGTGGTGTTCACAGAGAAACAGAAATGATGCACCAGGAGATCTGTTTTGAAGTAGTGATGTCTGCTGTGGTGATCCTAGATGTGTGGTGTCCGATGAAGAATTGACAGGACTTAACGATGCTGGAAGGTTGGCAGAGGAGAAGTAGAAATTAAAGCTGAAGACCAGGCAACCCTGTCAGTGGTGAGAGCCTTCTTACACCTGGTATTTGGAAGGTGGTATTGTTTGCCTCAAGGGATTGTGACCCCAGACTTGGACTAATTGAGTTTAAGGTAGCAGGGAATTTGATGAAAGTGATTTTGGGGCAAATAAGCTGATGCAGGAAAAGCGTGACCAGAAAAACACCGTTTAAGTGGAGACCAGAATTTTACAAATGAATAGTGGAGGTAGGAAAACGTTGATTAGGACTTGATATTGAAAAATAAAATTTTTATATAACTGTTGAAGAAAATACAGATAGATCATAAGTGCAATGGCACACATTCTTAAAACAAAGGGTGATCCAAGTTGTTTCGATGTATCTTTTCTCAAAGCTGACTCACAGTGTCATACTGCAGTCTTCACAGCAACCTTCACTTCACACTCAGTTATTCTTACACACTTTGCCAGTGTTTCCAGTTGTTCATAAGGGCTTCCTGCAGTCCTTTGATACTGAAATAATTCTTTTTTGGAGCACCCTTCATGTCATCCTACCTTTTCTAATTAGAAGTCGCTTTCCCAACATCTCACCTGTTTCTGATTTTGTTTGCTTTCAAGAGTTCTTTGAACTCTTGATTGTCAGCTTGATTGGACTGAGAAGTGCCCAGGAGGTTAGTAAAGCACATTTCGTTGTCTGCAGGGCGCTATCAGAGAAGAAAACTAGGAGGGGAAGACCTGCCCTGAGTGTGGGCGCACCATCCCATTGGCTGGGGGCCCAGATAGAATAAAAGGGGAAAGGAGAAAGCCAGTTAGTACAGGCATTCTCTCTCTTTGCTCCCTGGCCATCCTAATGTGAGCTGCCGTGCTCTACACACCCTTCCCACCAAGATGGACTGAAACTGTGGGCCAGTGTAGATCTTTCCTCTTTTAAAGGGTTCCTCGGGCATTTAGCTCTTTCCTCCTTTAAACTGTTCCTTGGGCATTTGTCACAGCCATACATAGTCTAACTTAGGTTCAATAATGTGGGTTTCACTGCATTGTATTTTTCACCAGAGAAGCCATTTTTCTTCACTAGCTAGTTGATTTGTATTGTTTTCAGTGTTTTCCTTAAGACTATTACTGAGAGACTGACAGAGACATTGACCCATCCAGATGGGCTTTACAGTACAAAAGGATGTTTAGCTAAGGGAGACCTCACCAGCTGAAATCATGAGAGTCTGCACACCTCTGGTGATAGGGCTAATGCAATTTAGGACTTTTAAAAATATGGCAACTGTATTAGCCCAGTATTACCAAGAGCTTGCTTGCCAAAGTTCTGGTGCCAATATTCTTAGCTGTAAGGACAGTTGGACATTTTAAGACATTTTAAGGACAGTTGGACATTTTAAAATCAAATTACCATATTGTTGACTGATGGACAGAATCAGCCATACATTTGATCTGCATAAAACTAATTACTTCAACGGTTTATGAACTGTCCTTTTTCCTTTCTACCTTTTAACAGTTTTAAAACTTACAGTAGTATCTATTCTTTTTGTCAAAATTTCACATATCTCAAAAAAAAAAGAAAGAAAAAGGCCCTAAGACAAGTGCCAGACGCAAGAAAGTTTACTAAGTATACTCTCATCATTCTTTCAGTGCATCTTTGAAGTGTATTCTCTTTTCTTGCTCCCATGCAAGTAGTTTCCCACCTCCAGAACTCCTTCCTATTGACCCCAGCTTTCTCTGTGCTTGTCTCTGAGCAATTACAGCAAGGATACACTTAGTTTAACATTGCCTTGATCGTTTGCTAGGTATTACTATTTTCTCTGTACCAATCTGCAAACCCCTTGAAACTTGGAATTTGGTTTGTTCCTCCTCCTATTATGTTCATAATACTGATCATTGAATCATTAAAGGCCTTTCTTCCCCCAGGACCAGTTTGTCTTTAATGATGGCTTTATGCTGTTACTAAAATTTTATTTTCATTGGTTCTGAGTTCAACTGTCATAATTATCATTGTTTTTTAAATGTGTTCAGATTAGAATTCTTGTGTCGTGAGTTTTTAAGAAAGGCTTTCTGGATATATCCAGATGAGGATTTGATGCTGGGAACTGGTGATAATAACAGTAGAGATAGTTCTGTAGTTTGTTCTGATGATGAAATTAACAGTAATGTCAGAGCCCAGAGAGTGCTTGACATGTGTGAAGCCCGCCAGCGATGCCAGTGTGGCTGGAATGCAAGGAAAAAGTGAGGTCAGAGCAGAGCAGGTGGCCAAAGCCTGTAGGACTTTGGAAGTCAGAGTAAAGCCTTGGGCATTCATTTTCAGTGCATGGGAGCCACAGAAGGATTTTGAATACAGGAAGACTGTAATCTGGTGAAGGAGGAGGTATGTAACAACTTCAGAGGAAGAGTTTTTCCCGAGGGTGTTAAATAAGTATTCAGGAGCCCCCAAGTGAGACTGGAGGGAGCAGTGATTAGGAAAAGGAGTTTTAGGGAAGCTGAAGTAAAATGGAAGGAGTCAGTGAGAAATTGGATATGGAGGTATTATGGAGACAGGGCTCAGGCATGGTTTTGGGATATGACTTGACTTGCCCAGCATGGTAGAATCAGATTGAGACTGCAGGGGAGGAACAGTTTGGGGTAAAGAGAATAGAGATGGTGTTTGGAAGATCAGGTTTAGAAATGCATTTTCATGGCCTGAGCAACATTCAGATGGAGATATCTCCTTGGGGCTAAAGATGCCTATCATTCATAGCTCAGAAGAAGAGCTGGGTAGAGAAATTTTTGAGTTATTTTATTAATGCAGCAGCTGGAGGCTGACCCGGAATAGTGAGTAAATAAGAAAAGAAGGGAGTCTAGACAGAATCCCAGGGAATGCAAGAGCAGACAAGATTGGCAGAAAATCATGGGACTTAAGGATCCTGAGCAGGATTCAGGAGCTGAGAAGCAAACTAGAGTTAAAGCCTTGAGAGGCCCAGAAAGATAAAGCAATGCCCTCAGACCAAGAAGAGGAGAAACTTGGAAGTGTCTCATGGCTCCAGCAACTCAGAAGGAGGCTGTACCTGGAAACACTGTCTTCTCTGAGATATGAGGTCTAGGGCTAGTGGATGAGTGCTAATGGTGAAAGGGACAGAGAACTGACTAGGGTAGGGGTATAGCTCCTTGCATGGTACTTTGTACATAAAAGCAAAGTTCAATAAATAGCTATCAAATAAATGTATACTTCAAATTCCCATTCAGTTAAGTCATCTGCCTACCTCCCACCTTCCCAAATCTTTAACATTCAGTACCATAAGGCATTAAGACATATTTGTCCTGATATTTTGGGGTCACAAAGATGTGAGAGTACTAACTAGTACAAGATTTATCTCTTTTGATTCAGTCTACCCCTCTTGACAGCATGAAGTTACTGCAGAAGTATGCTCAAACTCAGCAGTCTCGGTGCAGTGATCACATTGATTGCATGTGGCTGGATTTAAGTACACGCTTGATGGATCTACAGCACAGATGCTTTCTTTGATTGTGCTTTCTTTGATTCTTCTCACTTCCTGAAACAGGAGTGCCCTGACTCCATGAGGATCCACCACTGTGTGTGTAACTGTACATGAGAAGCGCTGACTCCCACATTGCCTGCTTACTGGCCTTTCAGTATGGGGAGGTAAGTGATAGACCTAATCACTGGCCCTATAAAGCCTGAGATTTGGGTGCTGGAAAAACAGGTCTAAAGAGGGGGATTGATGGAAAAACAGGTCTGAGAGGTGGGTGCCTAAATCCCAAGAGAAAAGCATTCCAAGTTGTGCTATGCTTCTGTTTAACTCCTTTATTCTTCCAGCACCCAGTGATTTCTACATGGACTAGTAGATTGCAGTCAAGTCCTGCAACTTGGGGCCTGCAGGGGATTATATTAGCTCAGAGTTACTGTCTGTAGCCTCTGATGTGCACAGGTGGATAGTGCCATGGAGTGACTCCAGAACTCCCATGAAAGATTTCATTGGGTTAGCAGAGTATTTCCCCCTCAGTGAGGTATTTTAGTGCATAAAGTACTCTTCAAAGCAAAAATTACAGAAATTAACTGTAAAGTAATAACTTTTATCCTAAAGGCAGTGAGGTTTCTCTCTCTCTCTCTCTTTTTTTTCCCCTGCAGTACTGGCGCTTGAACGCAGGGCCTTCACCTTGAGCCACTCCGCCAGCCCTTTTTGTGATGGCTATTTTCAAGATAGGGTCTCTCAAACTATTTTCCCAAGCTGGCTTCAAACAGTGACCCTCCTGATCTCTGCCTCCTAAGTAGCTAGGATTACAGGCATGAGGCACTGGTGCCTGGCTTGAGGTTTTTCTTTTAAAGTCTAGTAGTTCTAGAATGAACCTTACATTCCTGACATACATTCCTGAGAAGTTTGCTGTCATTTGCAAAAATGTCTTAAAAGGAATCTTTCTAAAAACACAGGACTTAGCAAAACTTCTTTATGACTTTGTTTTAGGGATGTTATTAAAAGATAATTACTTTCTCCCATCACTGGGTCACCTGGGAGAAATTTACCTTGGAATTCAGGGTTAAGAAAATCTTCCTTCTAAGTCGTTTACACAGTAATGGGCAATGTTTTGTCCACTGGGCTGCAAGCATTTACAGGTCTGGCTTACAACATGCATTTTTATATCTTCACTTTCCCTTTGGTTTCATCTTCTTTAAACAGGATTTCATTATGGGTTTATATATTTATCCTATTGAACTTCAAAGCTGTCTGTAATTCTCTTTGTAACAAAGTAGGGCAAAATTTAAAAATCTACATAATACTGTCAAGAAAAGGGAAAAATACAGGTATGTTATAACCTTCAGGGCCTAATTGTCATTCATAACATTTTATGAAGTGCTCCATAGCAAAACAGCACCATGGAACGAGCTGGTATACAGACACCAGCAGGCAGGGAAGAAGGGGTACCCAACCTGAACATCTTACTAGGAGCAGTTCATGTGAGAGGGGAAGCCTGTTTGGAGCACATTGCTTTAAAAATCTGTGTTTGTTGTTTTGTTTGAATTTCAGGATTGGCATCTCCTGTCTTTTTCCTGCTTCTTGGCATTTTAGCATCTCTCCAGTGGGCTGTCCTCGAATTTTGAATACCAATTTACGTCAAATTATTGTCATTAGCATCCTGGCTGCTGCTGTCTCACTTTTATACTTTTCTGTTGTCATAATCCGAAATAAGTATGGACGTCTATCCAGAGACAAGAAATTTCAAAGGTAAACGATAAAAACATTTGTTTTTTACAAGGGACATCATACCTTCTGGCTGACCTTGCTCAAGCTGCTATAACGGAATACTGGGTACCTTATAAACAACAATAATGTATTTCTCATAGTTCTAGAGGCTAGAGGGTAAGATCAAGGTGCCAGCAGTGGGTCTTGGATATTTGTCTATTGTCTGGTGATGGCTATTTCCTGGTTCATAGATGGCACCTTTTTGCTTTGTCCTCACATGGTAGAAAGGGTCCAGGGAGCTCTCTGAGGTCTCCTCCCTTGTGATCTGCTCACTTCCCAGAGAATAGTATCACATTGGTGGTCAGATTCTCAACAAAAGAACTTAGAAGGACATGAATATTCTCACCATGATATTGTCATTTTATGGCTTCAAGATAAGAGGCTAGGTTGGAATGTAAGCAGCATACAGCTGGAGGACTGGATTCTGTACTGACTGCCACGGGGCGTGAAAAATTAACCTGTCAGTGGCTAGCCACTGGCCATTCAGTCCATGTCATAAGAGACCTTGAAATAATCACTTAAACATAAGCTTCTGCTAGCATCTGTAGTCTGGAGATAGTTTGCATTTTGGAACCATGCATATAACTGTCATAGAGTCATGAGTATGTACCTAAATTAGATGTTCTTTGTTTTATCTTTTTTTTGTGTGTGTGCTGCTGGGGTTTGAACTCAGGACCTCACAGTTGCTAAACAGGCATTCTACCACTTGAGCCACACCTCCAGCCAATCTTGTTTTCTCTTCTTTTGTCATCATCTGATGTTAAGGGAAGACCATAGCAGTGTCACTGTGCAGCACAGAAGTCACAAATGCAGTGTATGTGTTGCATTTTCTCTGTTAGATGTAGGATTATATTCTGTCTAAATAAAAGCATGTATGTTTTTCTTAACAAGGTACTTGGCCCGAGTCACAGATGTTGAAGCCACAGACACTAATAACCCCAATGTGAACTATGGAATCGTGGTGGACTGCGGCAGCAGTGGGTCTCGGGTATTTGTCTATTGCTGGCCAAGGCATAACGGCAATCCTCATGATCTGCTGGATATCAGACAGATGAGGGATAAAAACCGGAAGCCGGTAGTGATGAAGATCAAACCCGGTATGGAAACGAGAACTGTCTGACTTGTGACCAGGCTTTATGCTTTGGTGCTCTGCGGTGCCTTTCATATCCTTCCCTTTTTCTCCAACCTCATCACCCTGTCTCAAAATTCACACCAGGACCTAACGGCTCTCCTGGTTTTACTTTCTTTTCCCTTTTTTTGTCCATTTTGTATAAGGTGACTGATTCCGTGTTAAAACATCCAAAATTTGTGTCCTTTTGTCCCCTATAGCAGTCATCAAAGTGCCTCATTCACAGTGTCTGCTTCCATGTCTGCTGGTTGGCATTTTGTGGAGGATTTTTCCTAGTTGTTAGCCACTGGTCCCTACCTTCAAATAACTCATGAAAATACGTTCTCTTAACACATTGCTATATGTTTGTGATTTTAAAATATCTGTCCAAAAATATTTCTAATCATCTAGATTATTTAATGAATGACCAGAGAACTTGAAAGAGCTAATATAATTATGTCCAGTTTTTAAAGATGCTATCATTTTAAGCCAGTGTGAAATGTAAAATTTAGGCTTTAGATAACTTCAGTCAACCATTCTTAACCTTTTCTGTGCATCACCACTTCTGTGGGCAGCATCCTCTCTCAGGAGTCCTAGTCATGGAAGACCTCAGGAGTACCTTGAAACACGCTTCCGCATTAAGACTGTAGATCTTAATAGATTGAGATACAACACTTTTACTTCATCTTACCGATGTGTTGAGTGGTAACACATGAAATCCAAACTGTCTAAGGAATGTCTTTTAAAATGTTTAAGGAGATAGAAATGTCAGTTACTCTGATCATTACACATTGCATACATGTATCAGATTACCACATTATAGTCCATAAATATGGACACTTGTATGTCAAGCAAAATTTCTTAAAAATATTCATGAATAACAACTATTGTAGCTTATCCCCCATTTCAGAAATATAAGTAAAATGTCAGTATATTTCCATGAATACAGACTAGTTTTCTTTAAAACTTAATGAATACTTTTAAGTTTCAGCTTTCTGTTTTCCCAACTCTTAAATTTTTATGTATGCCTTATCTAGAAAAATTTTCAGGGTTAAAGTAATACTGATCAGCCAGGCACCAGTGGCTCACTCCTGTAATCCTAGCTACTCGGGAGGCACAGATCAGGAGGATTGTGGTTTGAAGCCAGCCTGGACAAATAGTTCTGAGACCTTATCTCGAAAGTATCCATCACAAAAACGATGGGTGGAGTGGCTCAAGGTGAAGGACCTGAGTTCAAGCCACAGTACTGCAAGGAAAAAAAAAAAGTAATAATGATCAAATAAAAATTCACCAAAAGACTAAGAAATAAAACTCAATAGAGCATTTTGCATTTTGTTCAGCTTTACATGAGAAGTAACTAAACACCTCTCATAGACTAGGATGAAAACATTTATGCCTTTGAGTTGTCCTTTTGAAACCAACAGAGTAGACATCATCCCAGGCTACATACCAGATCTCATTAAAATCAGGTTTAACATGCTTCTCTAACTCTATGCAGTGTTCAAGATGGAAATCAAAATAGCTTTTTATAGCATTCCTGTCTTGAAGAAAGAGTTTAGTATACAGCAAGACTCTAGAAATAGTCTTATTTCTAGTGTGAGGCTTGGTGTCTATTAAAATAACATGTAGACTCAAAAGATTTATCTTTTACTCCATTTTCTGATTCCTTTTGTAGATCACTTAATCTTTCTGGGTCCATAATTTCCTACTCTGTGAAATAAGGACTTTTGGGGGCTTCTAAAGCCCCCTTCATTTTTAGTATTGTAGGCTTAGTGATATCTGTAAATACTCATTCACTTACTCATTTAACGAATGAGTTTGCCGAAATAATGTGTTTGCCAGGTACTTGTTAGGTGGTGGGAATATAAACTTGAATAAGACACTATGTGCCCTTGAGAAACTTCCAGTTGTAATGAGACAGCAAGTAAATAAGTAATTCTGACATACTGTGATGGGGGTATAACTAGCAGTGGAGGGGCATCGAATGTTAGGAGAGCTTATTTCTGTTGGAGCTCTATTAGGGAGGACTTCTGGTAGGAAGGAGCTGAATGGATGGGCAGGAGTTAACCAGATGAACAAGGTAGGGGAAGAGAAGGGTCTTCCTGGTGGAGGTACAGAGGCCCTAAGGCCAGAGTAGGACGCATTACACAAATGTTACTTCGGTGTTGCAGAAGGCAAGTGGAAAGAACTGGAGAGATGTGATGGTGTGTATCTGGGCAGTTTGTACTCCAATGAAGTTGAGCTTTGGAGGAGTGGAGGAGCCACAAAAGGATTTGAAACTGAGCAGAAACATCCTTAGGATAGGGAGTGGGGAGGGGGATGGTTAAGACTATAGGGTAAGGTGTGTTGCCCTAGGCCAGCAGAGGGCATTGTGTCCAAAGAGACAAGAAATGAAATGAGGGGAACCCGAGACATGTTCTGTGAAAACCAGAGTGCACATTGGGGCACCACAGTGGGATTTTATCCAGGATACTGGCCTGGACACTGACGTAGATAACAAGCAGCAAGAGCAGGTTTGCAACGGATGGTAAGTTCAGGCTTGGGTGTGTTGGTTTTGAGGTAGCTGTGAGGATGAGCAGTACTGTCAATGTGGGAGACAGGTACCATGTGCTGATCTGTAGACTGGGGAAGAGGGGGTTCACCTGTGGCCTGTTGAAAGTGCTAGCAGCTGTGGCAATGTGTGAGCTTGTCTGAGGAGGGAGCCACAGTTCTCAAGGGCAGGGATGAGCGCTTGTGCAGGGCACATTGTAGGTGCTCAGCCAGGTCTTGGGCTTTTGATGATAGAGAAGAAGAGGGCATATGATTGAAACCTTCAAGGAAGTAGAGGAATATGGAAAGCTAGGAATATAGAGTACAGCTTGAATCTCTCCCTGATTCACCACACTGAAGAAACATACTGTGGTAGCCAAGATTTGGCCCTGTTAACTGGAGTGTCCTGTTTCTCCAGGCATCTCAGAGTTTGCTGCCTCTCCAGAGAAAGTCAGTGATTACATTTCTCCACTTTTGAACTTCGCTGCAGAGCATGTTCCACGGGCAAAACATAAAGAAACACCACTCTACATTCTCTGCACGGCAGGAATGAGAGTCCTTCCCGAAAGGTGAACCTTTCCTCCTTCCTCTCCTCCTCCATCATCACCCTCATCATCAAAGGACATTCAAAATTTTTTCTTTAAGTCTGGACCAGGTCCCAGAACTATTCCCATAGAATCCACCAAATAGCTTTTAATTTTATCTGTTTATAACTATAAATTATAAAATTACTGTTTTTAAAAACTAGTCAGTTTTATTATTTAATGTTTTGTAGTAGTTTTACATGTAGGAATCACATAATTCAGACAACTTCATTTTGAAAAAAATCTTTTCAATCAGTTGCTTTGGTTTTAAAATTAACTATTTCATGTTGTATATACAGAGCTATCAGGAAGGGGAAGGTTATTTTGGATTTTTCTTTTCAAAACAGAAAAGTTGAAATGTAACACTTTAGTGTCAATTTTGGGGTTGCCTTACAGCCAGCAGAAAGCCATCCTGGAAGACCTCCTGACTGATATCCCCGTGCACTTTGACTTTCTGTTCTCTGACTCCCATGCTGAAGTCATTTCAGGGAAACAAGAAGGTTGGTATCTTGACCTTCAATTTGAGATGCTGTTCCTTTATGTCCTCCCTGTTGGCTCCAGTGTACAATATCTTAAATTACTCAGTATCTTAAATTTTTGAAAATCGTAACCTTGAAATACTGTTTTTAATAACTAAATTAGTTTCTTATATGCCTAGTTTTTATTACCCAAACATTAAAGCCATTAAAAATAACTTGATATGTCTTTACCATGTTTAGAGAATGTATTTTGAACTCATTAATATAGAAAAGATTTGAGTTCCTTATCTAGCTGATAAGGCTTTCTGGATTATGATTTGTTGAGATGTGGGAACCTCTGAATTACTTTCTGGCAAGGGGAAATTCTTAACTTCAATTTACTCAGAAAATATTAGTTCTATATTCAAAGAAATGATTGTACTTGAGAGTGAAACGACAAGTCAGTGAAATTTTTTGGGGAATGGTTTGCTAGGAGTAGAGATCCAAAAGTACAGTGCTTATTTCAAAAATCATCTATCATTTCAGGAAGTACTCCCTGTATGAAGGGCACTGTAGGAAATACAGAATTGAGTGAATTGCCACTGAGCTCCTTATAGAATTAGATCGCTTCAGGTGTGAAATGGAAGATACAGAAAAATACGAGTTCAAAAGAGGGGATGTTTTTCCCCAAGCCAAGACCATCATAGAGAAGTTGATGTTTAAACTGCGCTTCAAGGGGTTCTGAATTGAACCTGCCAGAACAGGGCCAAGGGAGGGTCCTGAGGAGGGAGAGGGAGCATAGTCACTGCAGGTCACAAAGGATGTCACTGTGGACACACACAAGTGCTCCCACTCAGCTGGATCACAGCCCTTTGGGAAGGTGGTGGTGATGTCAGAAGTTTGGACAGGTCTTGAGTTGTCAGTTGTGAATTTGGACTTTGTTCTGTAGATCAGTCCAATAGCAAAGGATAGAGGGCGTTTCCAGGAGGACTTGGGGGCAGGAAGATTGATTGGATGGACTGTCACCTCCTCTCTCTATTAACATAAATCAAGGTGACAATGATAAAAATTGAGTCTAAGAAACGTTAGCAAAAGTAGAATCAGAGTTGGCTGCTGAGTGAATGTGAGGAGAAAAAGGAAAGTCAAGAATAGAAGGTAACTTGGAACTTGGAATTTTAAAACCTGGCAATTGATAGATTTAACTTCATTCAAAAGTAAAACATCATAAAAAGCATACAGGATTTTGTAATGAGCCATAAATTCAAAGGAATACTAGCTCCTAGGGCGTTATATTTTCATCATGTTTAAATTATATGAAACTAAAATAGCAAAATTTAGTGCTCTTTGAAAACCATTAGGGAAAGATAAAAAACATCAGCAGAAGTGTGTTATTTAGGTGGTATTTTCACAGATTAAAATATGCACAAAACATATTGATAAGAAATACAAAACTGAATTTTTCTTATTTTTACTCTGACATATGTATAGGTGTGTATGCTTGGATCGGCATTAACTTTGTCCTTGGACGATTTGAGCATATTGAAGAGGGTAAGTGTCATGTTTCCTACCGGTGTGACTAATTGGAAATTTTACGGTTTTTCTGTTTAATCCAAAGGCTGAGAAAGGAGCTAAGTTTTGTGACACTGAGTGCGTGGGAGTAAAGCAAGAAGAGCTGTTGTCTAACACGGTTAAACTTGACTTTCATTGGGAGGAATACACAGGGTTGCCTGGTGTGCTTGAAACATACCATGAAAGTCAGAGGGTGCCTCATGAGCTCCCAGGGCTCTGGATATGTTCCACGAACATTTCTTGTTCTTTCCAGATGACGAGGCAGTTGTGGAAGTTAACATTCCTGGAAGTGAGAGCAGTGAGGCCATCATCCGTAAAAGAACAGCGGGTATTCTGGACATGGGAGGCGTGTCAACTCAGATAGCATATGAAGTCCCCAAAACTGTAAGCTTTGCCTCCTCACAGCAGGTCATTATCTGTACAGATTGCCTTCTTTTTGGTTTGGTTTTCATGTAACATGTCTCCATCCATTTTGTTTTGTTTCCTGAATCTGAACCATCTTTACTGTGCTTGCTGAGGTTCCACCTTCTCAACCAGGAGGAAGGAGGCGGGAGGAGGAGGCAGGCCTCAGCCAAATCGATACGTTTGTGCGTTAAGCCCCACTGGTTTGTTTTGTGAACTTTGAGTTTTTATTTGGTATATATATGTCAGTCACGTGCTTGAGTTTTTGTTTATATTGTCTCTTCAATCACTTCTTTTCAATGGAACTTAATAGCATCAGATTTTTTAAGTTATAATTGGGGAAGTCCATTTTCTTAATGGCTCAGTTATCTTTGTATCCACTACTCCACATCTCTGCTTATGGTTTACTCCATCTTTTCTCCACCCACCTCAGCGCTGTCAGTCACAGCCTGTGGTCCTCAGCAGGCTGGACCTTATACAGAGAATTCTGATGTGTTCCTGAATTGCTACATGCCTCTTAAAACTCCGTTTCTGTAACACCAAACCCTTGTCTCCTACATTGTCCCCCAGAAGGTTTGCATGCAGCACCATGTGGTGGCACAGAGTTAGGCTGTGCCCCTGGACAAGCCTAGGTGGCACCATCGTCCTATTCCTCATGCAGATTATATAACTTCTGTGCACCAGTTTATTCATTTTAAATGTGAATGCAAACTGCTACAGCATAGGGTGTTTATAAGGATTAAATGAGATACCACACATACTGTATCTAGTGCGCCACAGGCATCTCACATGCTCAGTGAATGCTGTTGCCATCTTTATTTAAATCCTTGGAAAAATGCAGTGTAAATTCAAGGATAGAATCTGTGTTCCTTACTTCCCATTCCGGTACATGCCTCCAGAAACTACTCATGCCTCCCACAATATAAAGTCAAAAGTACGTAAAGGAAGTTTAGGAGCAACAGTAAAAACTAAAGATTAAAATTTTCTCATGGACTCATTTTCTAAACATCGCTAGCATTTTGATGAATTATTTTTCTTTTTTTTCTCCTTTCTATAGTTTTTAAAAGTATGATTATTATAATCTGACTGTTTCTGTGATTTTGTGACCTTTATTTAACAGTGCATAATCACAGTCTCTATGAACTGCTGATTACCATAGTTAACTTTTCCTTGATGATGTACATTCAGAGGATACCCAGTTTTTTCTGTCATAGAATTGCAAAGGACATCTTTGTGTGTAGAGACTTTTCTTTGTTTATTTCCATGGCACAGGATTCCATAAATAGATTTACTGGATAAGAGGGTAGGAACTGTATTGCTAACTACCTTTTTCACAAAGTTATATAAGCAAATGTGCATTACCTCTGAAATTACCTAAGTCAGCATTGTCATACTGAATTATGAAGGAGGCTTATTTGTGAGATGGAGAGGCAGAAATTTGTGTTGCTCTTGGATGAGACTCTTTAACAGGAGTTAAAGTTGCTTTGTTTTGTTTGTTTGTTTTGCTCTGCTGGGGATTAAACCCAGAACCTTGTACATGCTGGGCAAGTGCTCTACCACTGCCAGCCCTAAAGTTGCTTTAAAATACTGAAATTTGTCATCCTTATGTCTTCAGGAGGAAGTAGCTAAAAATTTGTTAGCTGAATTTAACTTGGGATGTGATGTTCATCAAACTGAGCATGTGTACCGAGTCTACGTGGCTACGTTTCTTGGGTTTGGTGGCAATGCTGCTCGACAGAGATATGAAGACAGAATATTTGCCAACACAGTTCAGAAAAACAGGT